ACCAGTGACCTAAAACCAGATGAATTGTGGGATGACATCAAGAACATCATCCATGAAGAAAGCAAAAGGTCATTAAAAAGACAGAAAAGGAAGAAAATACCAATATGTATGTCAGAATAGACTCTAAAACTCGCCCTTGAACAGAGAGTTGCTAAAGTGGATGGAAAAATTGACAGGAAAAAAGAGCTGAACAGAAGATTTCCAAGACAGCCTAAGAAGACAAAATCAATCAGTACAATAAAATGTGCAAAGACCTGGAGTTAGAAAACCAAAACAGAGGAACACTCTTGGCATTTCTCAAGCTGAAAGAACTGAGGAAAATTTAAACCTCTGAATTGCAATATTGAAAGATTCTATGGGCAATATATTGAATGATGCAGAAAACATCAAAAGATGAATGGAATACACAGAGTCACTATACCCAAAAGAATTGGTAGATAATCATCCATTTCAGAAGGTGGCATATGATAGAGAACCAATGATATTGAAGGAAGAAGTCGAAGCTGCACTGAAGGAATTGGTGAACATCAAAGCTCTGGGAATTGACAGAATACCCATTGAGATATTTCAAAAACAGATGCTGTTCTGGAGGCACTCACTGGGTTATGCCAAGACATTTGAAAGACAGCTACCTGGCCAACTGACTAGAAGAGACCCTTATTTGTAGCCATTCCAAAGAAAATTGATCCCACAGAATGTGGAAATTATCGAACAATATAATGGATATCACATGCAAGCAAACTCTTGCTGAAGATAATTAAAACATGTTTGCAGTGGTATAATGACAGTGAACTTTAGAAATCCAAGCTGGACTCAGAAGAAAATGTGGAATAAGGGATATGATTTCTGATCTCAGATGGATCTTGACTCAAAGCAAAGAATACCAGAATGATGTTTACTTGTGTTTTATTGAGTATGCAAGGGCATTCTATTATGGGATCATAACAAATTGTGGATAACATTGAGAAGAATGAAATTCCAGGAACTTAACTGTACTCATGAGGAAATTGTAAATAGACTGGGAGACTGTTGTTCAAACACAACAAGGGAACACTGCATGGTTTAAAATCAAGAAGGGGTTGTGTCAAGGTTGTATCCTCTTACCATACTTATTCAATCTGTATAATGAGCAAATAATCCAAGAAGCTGGCCTATATGAAGAAGAACATGGCATCAGGATTGGAGGAAGGCTCATTAACAACCTGAGATACACAGATGACACACATTTGCTTGCTGAAAGTGAGGATGACTTGGCGCTCTTAACAATGAAGATTAAAGACTACAGTCTGCAGTATGGATTATACCTCAATATAAAGAAAGCAAAAATCCTCACAACTAGACCAATAAGCAGCATCACAATAGATGGAGAAAAGATTGAAGTTAATTGTCATAGACTTTGTATTACTTGCTTCTACAATCAACGCCAATGGAAGCAGCAGTCAAGACATCAAAAGACATACTGCATTGGGAAAATCTGTTGCAAAAGACCTCTTTCAAGTGTTTAAGAGCACAGATATCTCCCTGAAGACTAAGATGCCCCTAACTCAAGCCATGGTATTTTCAATCACCTTGTATGCATTACAGCTGGACAATGAATAACAAAGACCAAGAAGAGTTGATGCTTTTGAGTTGTGGTGTTGGTGAAGAATGCTGAAAGTACCATGGACTGCTAAAAGAACTAACAAATCTGTCCTGGAAGTACAGCCAGAATGCTCCTTGGAAGAGAGAATGGACAGACTTCATCTCACCTACTTTGGTCATGTTGTCAGAAGGGACCATTCTCTGGAGAAAGATGTCATGCTTGGTAAAGTGGAGGGTCAATGAGAGGGGAAGGCCTACAACAATATGAATTGACACAGTGGCTGCAGCGATGGGCTCAGGTGTAGTAGGTATCGTGAGAGTGGCACAGGACCAGGCAGTGTTTCTTTCTGTTGTACATAAGGTTGCTATGAGTTGGAGATGACTCGGTGGAAAATAACAACAATAATAACTGGGTTGGTTTCTGGGTTATGTTATCATGTGTGTTAATCTTCATTTTTTGCTTGTTGTTGTTGGTTCTCTGTCCAAAGAAGTCCTTTTAGCATCTTTTGTAAAGTTTGTCTGGTTTTAACAAATTCCCTTAATTTCTGCTTACCTGGAAATATCCTAATTTCACCTTCATATTTGATAGATAGTTTTGCTGGCTATAATTCTTGGTTGGAATTTTTTTTTTTTTTTTTCTTTCAGGGTTTTATATATATCATGCCATTGCCTTCACACTTGCACAGTTTCTGTTGAGAAATTAGAGCTTAGTCTTTTTGGTTTCCCTTTGTAGGAAACTTTTTTCTTTTTCCCATGCTGCTTTCAGGATTGTCTTTGTCTTTGGTTTGGGAGAGTTTGATGATGATAGATGCTGGTGTTCTTCTTTTGGGGTCTATCTTGTTTGAGATTCATTAAACTTGTTGAATGGATATAGTCTCGTCTTTCATCATATTAGGGAAATTCTCTTCCAAAAAATCTTCCAAAATTTTCTCTGTGGTTTTGTCTATCTCTTCCTTTTCTGGAATTCTTATTACATGTAGCTTATTCCTCCTGATGGTATCCCACATGAATCCTAGGCTTTCTTCATTATGTTTTGATCTTTTGTTTGATTGATCCCTCTACAAAGTAGTATTGAGGTATTTGTCTTCAATTTCATTAATTCTGTCTTTCAAGGATTCAATTCTACTCCTTTGCCCATTCAATGTGTTACCTATTTCTGGTCTTGTATTATTCTTCTAGATTTCTGCTAGTTGTTTTTGTATCATTTCTAATTTTCTATTTTGTCAATTTGTTCTTATATTGTTTTCCTAAATAGTTCTAGAGTTTTGTCTGTGTTTTCCTTAATTTTGTCAGTGTTTTCTTTGATTTTGTCAGTGTTTTCTTTGATCTGTCTCTCAATCCATTGAAGGCACATAAATATAATTCTTTTGAATTCCTTATCAGGGAATTCCAATGCTGCATCTTTCTCAGGGATGATTTCTTGATCCGTATCCTGGTCCTTTGTTTTTACTACTTTATCTTGCTTTTTTTCTGTGTGGGCTTTGATTGTCTGTTGTCTCTGAGACATTATGGTGTTATTATATTTATGCTTAATTTGTGGTTGTAGGTGTGATTCATGATTTTTTTTTTTTTTTTAATTTATCTGTGTGAGCAGGGTACTGTGCTTCTCTATTCACTAGTTGTTAGCCCTTAGGCACTCACCATCTATCTCCTGGTGGGTATCAGAGAGAATGAGAGTGTGTGCACAGATCTCTGTTAGCTGTTCATAAAGAGCAGTTGAGGTTGAACTAAGCTGGTATTAGCTGTCGTCTATCATTGGCCAGTTTGTGCAAAAGGAAATTGTGGCTTTCACTCAGAGGGTAGGGTCACAAGAAGTACAGGTTTGGTTGGGTTGTATGGGAATGGTTGATGTCTCCCAAGCAGTTAGACAAAATAAATAAATAAATGAACCACCAAGAAAACAAAAACAAGAGAATAAAACACTCAAAGTGCATCAACAAGCAGGAACAATTACAAAAAAAAGCAATGAATATGAACAAAAATTTTCAAAATTTGTAAAAATAACTAAAAGAAAGATAATGTGAAAAAGAGAAAAAAAAAAAGACACTGTGGAATGAGAGAAAAGAACAAGAGTAAAAGAGTAAGGAAAAATGCAAAAGGAATGTAATGGCAAGAAACAAAGGAAAGATGAAGAGAACCAGGACACAGGAAGAGAGAAAAAGGAAAAAAAAAAAAAAAAATTAAAAAAAGAAACAACAAACAAACAATAAACAAGGAAAATAAAAAGAATAATTTAAGCCAAACAAAAACAAAACAGTGGGGAGCAGGGCATGTCACCCAAGCTCTGCCAGGGCACAGACCACGTTGGAATTCCCTCAGGGCAAGAAGGTAGGTGGAGTTGGGGGAATGGCCACACCCTGTTCACCAAGAGGGCATAGGGCACAAGAGTCACAAGGGGAATATCACACCTCTCCAGTCATCAGTATCTAGTGAAGTTGCCTATTCTGGCCTGGGCAGGCAGAGGCCACTCCCAGGCTGCAGTGGAAACAAGAATGCCACTATCACACTCAAAACACCTGCACAATCAGCTTACAAACATCCAAAATGGTTGCACACTCAGAACAGCTGCCAGCAGTCCACAGATCTGCCTGTCCCCTTCCTCACTGCTCTCCCTTCTGGTCATCAGGCACCAATGCAGTCCCTGCCCATGCAGCCTTGGTGAGCAGAGCTGATTCTTAGGTTGCTATGTGGAAGTATTCAAAGTGGCTGTGCCCTCTGGACAGCTGGCAGTCTGCAGGTCCCTTTGTCTCCTTACTCACTGTTTCATTGAGGATCTTCTACTAAATAACCAAAACCAAATGCAATGCTGTCGAGTCAGATCCAACTCATAGTGACCCCTCCTTGGGTTTCCAAGGCACTACCACTTCAGAAATAGATTGCCCAACCATCCTTCTGAGGAGTGGCTGGTGGGTTTGAACCACCACCCTTCTGGTTAGCAGTCAAATGTTTCTTCTACTAGCTGGTATTTAATTCACTTCTTTTATCCTTCCTTTCAAAGCTCAGAGTTCTGGGATCATCTTCTGTATTGGTTTCAATTGGTTTCTCATTGCTTTGTTGGGAAGCATCTGTGTAGTTTGTCTGCCTATTCCCTGTCTTGCTGGAACTCTCACATTCTTCTTCCTAGTCTGTTTTTGTCTGGAAATTCTACTGAAACCTGTCTACCATGTGTGACACTGATAATGTTTGAAATACTGATGGTATAACTTCCAGCATCACAGCAACACAAAAGCCACCACAGTGCAACAACTTAACAGATGAATGTAGTTTTCAACTATATTAAAATTGAAGGAAAGTATATAAACTTACTAATGTTTTAAATTTGATAATGTTAACTTTTCTATCTTCTATGAGAAGCCACAATTCTGATAGTAAGTTTCATGATTTACTGACACTCCTACCTTTGTTTTTATCACTTTCAGGAAGAACCCTATGTCCTCTTTAAGAAGTCTGACAAACCTCTCTATGGGAATGATCGATTTGAGGGCTATTGCATTGACCTCCTCAGAGAACTATCTACAATCCTTGGCTTTACATATGAAATTAGACTTGTGGAGGATGGGAAATACGGAGCCCAGGATGATGCCAATGGACAATGGAATGGAATGGTTCGTGAACTAATTGATCATGTAAGTCTGTTATTTCATTATTTATTACCTTAGGGGGATTGCAAAGATTTATTGATTGATTGATGGTTGGAGATTAGTAATGACAAAGAGCAGAAGTATTATTTATTATTATTATTCTCAATGATTTTATTCAAGGTGAATATTACTTTTGCCATTAAATATAAGGAATCTATATTCCTATTAGAGGCATATGTTTGTCTTTAATTGACTAGTATGTAGTGATGTGATATCGAATACTAAATATTTGATCCTAATTTGTTACTTGGTATATAGTTTCCCACAATTAATTTTGTTTTCAATTTTATAATGCTAATTTAACAATCAGTAGCAGGAATAGTTGATACAAACTCCAAATCTCATCATAAAAATTTTCTAGTCTAGGATTGGATGCTTCTTGTCTTTATAGTAGAAATAAGACACAAAGCATGGAATCAGATATTGTATACAAGAATAAAACAAAAAAATTAAGCATATTGAAACAGGAAGATACACTTCTTTATTTGATTTAATAAACTGGGCTTTTCTTCTTCCCCCAAAAGCATAATTTCATAAAGCATAAATTCTCAATGGTGGTATTAATTAATTTATTTTTTTGAAATAAAACTCAGATATTTTTCAACATCATAATATCATATTTGATTTTGTATTTAGGTTTATTTTTACATTTTTCAAAATAGTAAAGTATTATTCTGCTAAGAAAATAGGAGATTGCTCCCTCTCTTAATAAATATATTTATTCAAGGATATATATGCATGTGTGTGTGTCTACACACACACACACACACATATTTCCACATACGTACACTCTCTTATGCTTTGATTAGAAACAGAATAACAACACAATTAAATTATCCTTAATTTATTTCTTTTATTGATTTGAAATTTACTGAATAAAATCATAAAAGTCTAATGGTTCTATTTATAAGCATAGTTGGATCCAAGGTCTTAAAACAATCCATTAGTGACTGACCTCTCTTTTACTGACTTATTATCTTTTGGTTTTGCTCTCTTCTTATAAGTATCCTTCTTAAGCACTTTCTTTCCATGTGGTGAAAAAGATGGTTCACAGCTGGGGCGATTTTACACTCTAGGGGATATTTGGCAATGTCAGAAGATATTTTTGATTGTCACAACTTGTTGTGGGCTGGAAGAGTTGCTACTTTCATTAAAAGGTAGAAACCTATGATCCTATCAAACACCCTATAATGCACAGAATAGCCCTTCACAACAAAGTGTTATCCAGTTCAAATGTCAATAGAACTAGGGTTGAAAAACTCTGTTTTCAGCTAATCTGGTCCTTAGAGTCCTCAGTTTGAAAGAGAAGTTTCCCCAAATTGAGCAACAAGCTTGGGGGGAGATTTTTTTGGCCAAGTTGGTCAATGTGCCCATGTGTGACTTGATCTATAAGGTTTAGGGGGAGGAACGGATAGTTGGATATGTCAGACCTGGGTCATGTGTCCATTTCTGTAGCTGTTGGTTAGAGTCAGCCCCAACTGAATAATGCTTCTTGTAATTTTTATGTGGACATGGATGCAGAGGTAACTAGTATTGATTTCATACCAGTTATGTCCCAAAAGAAGGAGCTCTGGTAGCATAGTGCCTAAGGCATCTGACTGCTAACTAGAAGGTCGGTGGTTCAAACCCATCAGCCACTCTACAGAAAGAAGACTGGGCAATCTACTTCTGTAAAGATTTACCACCTCAGAAAACCAAAGAGGGTTGCTATGAGTCGGAATCAACTTGATGGCAATGGGTTTTGTTTTGTTTCATATGTGCCAAACTATGAAGCTCATTGTCATGAGGGAAAGCAACTAAGCTTCAGTGAATCAACTAACACATATTATTATGGGACTACTTAAAACAAGGGCAGATAAATTATTTTCAGGTCTCTGGATCTAAGCTTTTTATATATATTGTTACATTTTAAAGGTGAAATTTAGTTAATTAAACATTACCGGAATCCTAGAAAGAATAAAAATGGAGAATCAAACCAGAAAAGGATATATATAGGATATGTGTAGAAACAGGTAGGGTAGGAGGAAGTTAGCTCTCAACAAGCTATATTTATGCAAGTGTTGAAGGATTTTTTTAAAAAATTAGTAACAACTGCTTTTACTACATTCTTCTTCATCCCTACCATTTGAAAGAATCTTCCACTGTCCAGGGTTAGCTATAATCTTTCAAATTCATTATCATCTAACCAGAAATGGTTCTTGGTGGTATAATACGAAGATACAACCTAAGAAGGATATTATGAGACAGTGGTTGATTGAGGATATTTTACTTATTGAAAAAAAAATGCATCTTTCTCCTGCAAACATATACATATATAGACACAGGAGGACTTCACAGCATAGTGTAATAATAAATAATTGGTAAGGTAAATGCGGATTCAAATCCTATTTCTTCTTTTATGTAGTTGTGTGTCTTGGGCATATTGATTTAAACTCATTTTATCTTACTTTTCTCAAATTTAAATACACATAGTAATTAATATATTAGGAAAAAAATATGTAAGTTTCTAATACAGTGCCTGACATATAGTAGGCAATCAATAGAGATATTTCTATTAAGTTCAAACATGACTTCTTACTTTCATACATTTCTGCTATTATGCTTATGAACATTCTTGTGGAGCACTAAATAGTTAAATATTTGGAAAGCATTACAATATGTAATATATGTATTCAGGGATTATAGATATCACTTATCTATCAGTTTGTCATATTGTGGTGGGTTGTGTGTTTCTATGAGGATGGAAGTTGTGCCACCAGTATTTCAGATACCAGCAGGGTCATCCCTGGTGGACAGATTTCAGCAGAACTTCCTGACTAAGGTAGACTGCAAAGAAGGAAGGGGCCATCCACTTCTCAAAAAATTCACCAGTGAAAGTCTTATGAATAGCAGTGAAATACTGCGGGACACATTACTAGAAAATTTTATGAAGAGTTCTGAAACATTGTCTGATACAGTACTGGAAGATGAGCCCCTCAGGTCTGAAAGCACTCAAAATAGGACTGCAGAAGTGCTGCCTCCTCAAGGTAGAGTCAACATTAATGACATGCATTGAGTAAAGCTTTCAGAACCTTCAACTGGTGATGAGGAATGACTCAAAATGGGGGGGGGAGGGACACAAACAGCTGCAAACAGCCATTAATAATTGGAACAAGGAATGTGTGAAATATAAATCTAAGAAAATTGGAAGTTGTAAAATATGAAATAGAATACATAAAGATTGATATCTTATTGGTGAGTTGAAATGGACAGTTATTGGCCATTTTGAATTACAGAATCATATGATCTACTATGCCAGGAACTATGAATTGAAGAGGAATGGTGTAGCATTCATCATCACAAAGAATGCTCCAGATTTATCTGGAAGTACAGTACTGTCAGTAATAGGATAATATTCATGTGCATACAAGTAAGACCAGTTAATACTACTATTATTCAAATTTATGTACAACCACTAAAAGCAAAGATGAAGAATTGAAGATTTTTACCAATCTCTGTAGTCTGAAATTGGTCAAATATGAAATCAAGATGTATTGATTTCTTCTGGTGATTGGAATTCAAAAGTTTGAAACAAAGAAGTATTAGTAGTTGTAAAATATGGCTTTGGTGATAGAAATGATGCAGGGGA